ACTTTGAGAAGGCTCTCTTTCACGTGAAAACTGGGAAAGAGCTCATTTGTGATTTTTCAGTGAATGGAAAAACTAAAACATTTTGAATAATTTCATTCTTACCTGCAAATATTTTGCACACTGCTCACTCCTGGGGCGTCTGTGGTTTCAATTTATTTTTCATCAAGCCAAGCAAATGGTGTCAATCCAAATCCCAGGAAAGCCTGTATGTCAGAAGTGCTCTGAGTACCTGAAAGGACCAAAGAACATCAATTATCATTAACATATAGGACAATAAATGGTTTATAGGCTTTTATGCCTTGACTATAGTTAAGTTCCATTAGGCCTTAAGAAGCTCTGAGCATGTGCAGAGTGTATCTACTCATGCTGGCCCAGAACAGCTCGTTCAAGGGCCACATAGAGCACAGAGCTCATGTACCAAGGCTTGGGCTTCTTGGCAGTCATTTCCTGCAGTCACCAGTTTCAGACTACAGGAAAAAAGGCACTGCCTTTCTCAACGTGTCAAGTTATTTTCTCATTTGCCAGCAAACGGATGGAGATTCTTATCCCCACTTTTGGAAAGGAAAGCAAAACAGGACAGCAAAGGATACAAATTATGAGAGACTTCAGGCAGTTTGGGGTTGCACAAATCCCTCACACAACTCATTGCCTTCCTTAGAAACCTGCTCCAGTGCTGAGATTCAGTGGCTTCAACCTGCAGTAAGGGACTGTCCTTACAATGTGCCATGGAAGGACTGCAAGGATGAGCCTTAAATTTGCTGGCTTAATCTTGTTTAAATTTATCTAGAAATAACAATTGCAACAGAAGCAGAAAAATTCTGCCATTTTTTTTTCCTCATTTGCTCCTAAAAGTAGCCTCTTGAAAAATCAGATGAGTAGAGGCCACCAGTAGTCGCTTGAAGTTAATAGTCCACTTGCAGCATGAGTGTGTCTGTAAGAGAGGAACCAGAGACTGAGAGGCCAGGTAGTGCCCCGTGGGCTATTTGAAGCGCGCTGCTCCACGGCTGCTCGGCCTGGCTGGCAGGCGCTCGGGCAGGGTGCACGGACGCCCGCAGGGCGCCAGCTCCTGCGCAGCCTCTCCTCCGGCCAAACCGCTGGCTTCCGGAGGGCTGCCGGTGGCGGGGCTCTTAAAGACACACACGGTGAGAAAGGCCTAGGCAGCGCGCTTAACAACCCGGTAAACGCACGGAGACGAGGCTACAGAACAACTCAGCGCACGCGAATTGCCAGCATTCGACACTGTTATTGCAAAGAGCGGTATGCACTTAAGAGAAAATAAACAGACATATGGTTCTTAGATGAAAGTTTTCTGGTAGTGGCTACAGTGTAGTTTTACCTGAAACTCCAGCGTTAAGAACATGCACACATGTACACAGTGACACACACTCAAGCACAGCCCTGTGCAGCTTGAAGAGAACAAACTGCTGCTAAAAGAGTCCCGTGGAGAAAGTCATCGTTAATTACAGGTAATCCAATTGGAGCACTACAGAGAAAAGCAGCATGAATTAGGAAGCCCTGCTACTGCTTTACACACAAGATTAAAGATAAGCTTTGCTTGCATTTTAGAAGCTCTTAAGAGCTTGTCTTTTACGTTTGTGCTTTAGACACAGCATAAGCATGCCAATGTGCTATGGGCATATTCTGTTTGAAGTAAAGAACAGATTTCAATAAGCTTCAAAGATTTCTATAAATAACACAATGGTTAGTATTATCCAACATTTGGAAAGAGCCCTCTGTATGAACTTTAATGAAAAAAATCAGTCAACTTGTTACTTATCTATACTATGCAGACTTGCGTCCAAGAAATCTATGGAGCTAAATGGCTGGAGACACCAGTGACATCAGTGGTGCAGCGTCACAGCACTGTCAGCTACTGACGTGAAGTGGGAAATCCAAATGATGGAAAAAGGAATTACTGTTTCCACAACGACTGAAGAATCCCTGATACATCTCAAATAATAATGTATGCTTTCCATATTCAAAAATATCAATGCCGAAAGAAATTCTAAAACTGTCTAGAAAAGGAAAGTAGACAATAAAAATCTAAGCTTTGAAGTATTTACAACGAGTATCAGAAAAAAACATTTCATATGTGGCTTCCAGAACTGAAATAAATGCTAGTATTTCTCATATAGGGTTTTAGTGTGATACTTTACCAGGCGTGAGTAGCCAGGGCAGTGCACAACCACATAGCAATTTTCAGTCTATGTGGGTCCAAAGAATAGGCTCCTCTGTGCTCTGTTTGATGTCAACAAGAACTAGGTCACTGACTTCAGAGGGGTAAAGCTCTAAATTTTACCTTTGAGAATCCTTCTTTTACGCTGCTAAAACATGCTGATTTCACAGCACTACAGTGCTGTAAGTGGAAATTCCCCAAACTTTTTACATTTGCTCACTGACATAGAGACAGAAAGTATTTCCTAGTAAGTCCACCTCACAGCTTAGTCACATTTTGTCATCCCAGGGTCATCTCATATTTTGTGGATGGTTACTTTTATTGCAACACAGATCAAAAAAAAAGCTATTTTTCTATGTTTACTTAAGCTGTTACCTCCCAAATTTCAGACTGCATTTTTTAATTTTTTTTTACTTCATGAGTCACACAGTGCAAAAAGACAAACGGCTCAGAAGTCTTGCTGGCTTTTCCTCCATGGAAAAAGGAAAGCAGAAAGGATCAGACTAAAACAGTGAAATGATGCACCTGTTGAGAATGGCAAAGCATATGGATGTATGGTTTATATGACTTTGAGTCCAGCACTAGCAATTGTGAATTCACGGGTGCCTGTATGAATAATTTTCCATTTCCTGCACAGAGCTTAGGTTTCACTCAATTACAAAGTAAAATCATGAACAGAGAGGAAGGCCGATTTACAAGAATATGCACCATATATTTACTTACATATTTATTGTTTTTTTCTTTGCGCAGCCCTCAGTTTTCATCACAGCTCTTGATAGGTGCTGAACTACTTAAGGAAAAAGTCTGGCATCCTTAAATATACTATTTGCAAAGCACACAATAAATCTACCACAGCCAGAAAGAAGCTTACAGATGGTGGTGGCTGGACAGAAGCAAGAGTCACAACTTTTGCTACCTATGGTTGAAGGACAGAAAAGATAAACTCCAGGTTGCAAGGAGCAGCTTGAAGAGCCTGGCTATAATTGACAAAGAACAAAGATAAACTAAAATTAAATGACTGCGAATGGGGCCTTGGCAGAAAGTATATTTTGAGACGATTGTTAAAGCCCAGTCCTCCCTGCTCAAAGATTAAAAACAAGGTGGGTGGGTGGAGGCAAGGGTTGTCTGTGCAAGAAACAGTCTTTTACAGGGATTATAACATCTGTGGCTGTTTGGTGTTCTGCTCTGCTATATCACTTGAAATACTCTTCATGTTTTATATCAGAATCATCCTAAGTCATGAAAATAAATCAAGACTCCTTTCATCAAGGCATGTGCCTAACATGCATTTAAATACTTCTGGATTATGGGAATGGGCAGGGCCAGCCCTGTCCCCACCCTCTTTACAGACCCCTTGCTTGCAATGTGTTTGCATGGAACTGACGACAGGGCCTTTAGGGCTTTGCGCTCATTCTTGCTTCCTTTATTCAAGAATTGCCACTTTCAACCCCCTTCAGCCCAACAATAGCTGTTCATGTAGGAAAACTGTACAATACAAACTCCAAGATTTGGTGAGAAAAAGGATCTAGTTCAGGTTCCCTGGCTACAAAAAAGCTATATACAGATATTGTTACCCAAGTGTGTCATAACCTTTTTTTCTCAAAAGCACAATGCTTTTGAGAGATACCTGGGACTTCCCCCTCAGTTGGAGGCAGGTGGGAAACATCTTTTATGTTAAAACTCTCTACTCTCAGAGAGCAGCTGCACCTATCCCATGCTAAGCTAAGAAACTGAACAAGGCACCCATCTCCCAGGATACACCATTACATGAAAACCAAGACTTAACATCACAAGTTTTTGGACTAGAGCCACAAATTATACTTTTGCAGACCAGATACAAGAACTGCCCTACTCTATGTAACAAGAATCTCTAGATTATTTTGTAGTGGTGTTTTTCCACAATAAATTTTATTATAGTACTAAGTACTTGAATTTCCTTTAGTTCTGTGATTCTATGATTCACAAAATAAATTGAACATCATTTTCATAAAAAAGACAGTTTTGAGGAATGTACTGGGATTAAGGAAATTTGTGGTCAAATTTTGAGATCAACCATAAACTTCATAGGTGGCCTTAAGAAATGTCAGTGAATCTTAGTTTTCCCTCACTGAAAAGGGATAATTTAGATACTGATTTCTGAAGGACTGCATGTGATCGGGAATCTGTTAATATACAGTGCATGTGCATGTATTCACTAATATCCTCAGAAATTCCTGCTGTCAACACGAAGACCAATCTAACAAACAGAAATGAGCTATAATCTTCCCTACGGAAGACACCAGCTAGCTTGCTTTAAACTTCAAACCTTTTGCACTATACACCTAGTGAAAGCAGGTCATTGCGTATTCTGCTCCTATTAGTACGTCAGCGACACATACACTGTGATACATCATACATGCTCAGCTCTTCCTCAGATATGCAACAAATTATCCTGTCGTAGCTAAACACAGCAACTATTTTACTGTCTGCAATCAAGACCACTGTATGGAAGGAACTAAAGAAAGCTGCTAGAAACACATCTTTCGAGCAGAAGTCTCTAGTGCTGTTATTAAAAAGATCTTCGGAGCAAGGTCATACACAGTTGAGTGGTCTAGCATATATATTACAGTTTATGAACTTAAGTACTTACTTTAGCCCTGCAAAGGCTTACACACATATTTAACTAATGTGGGTAGCTTTAATTAAGACGTTGTGTGTGTGTGTGTTTTTTTTTAAATGAGAACTTCTTACACTGCTTTAGATTTGCCGAAAATCTCATTTAACCACAACGTGAAGAGTCAGTGGCAGGTGAAAACTGAGCATTGAGGCATACAAAGAAGGCTGAATGCCGTCAACAGCGGAGGCAATAAACTGGGAATAGGTGAGGTGAGCAATTTCCTCGCTTTTCCACGCCTGGTCTCAGGCTGGGCGCGCTCGGGCA